GTAGGTAAAGGTTAAGCTAAGCTTTTGAAGATTTCTACCTAAAAGGGATGTGGGACATGTTGGAAAGACTAGGAAGCTATGGGTAAAGAAGAGAGTCTGGAACCTGAATGGAATAGGATCTGTATGTAAAGGCTGGAATAGGCTGGCCATCAACACCCACTACAGAGACTGAGGACTTAATACAAGGACCTGAAAACTCAGGACATACACTATAAGTCACCCCCGTGTCCATAAGTACAGATAGTGTCTTACCTGAGACATCCAGTGAGACTTGGGGCTCCAAGAAGGATACCTTAATGGGGATTGTGGCCCCTGAGCCCCATCAATCTTCAGCAGCAAGTCCAAGTAGATCAGTCAGAGATGAATCTGGTGGTGACAAGAGCTCCTGGGAGGGAAAGGAGTTGAGAGGATGGCTTACTCACTCTTTGGTGGCTAGGACAGTCGCTCTTTCAGTTGCACTTAAGATTGCAGTAGGGGCAAGGCCGCAGAGGAACGCTGAGGTTGGGACACTCTCTTGCCCAATGTCCTTCTTTGTTGCACTTGAAGCATAGTCCAGGAGGGTCTCAGGCAGCACTGCTAAAAGATCAGATTGCTATTTAGCAAGTTTTTTGTGTGTGCGCCTCTTTTTGAGTGTTTTCTCTGTTGTTTAAAACATGGAAAGCTATATTAAGAAGCTCTTCCTGTGAGGTTTGAGGGTCAAGTTCAGCCTTTTATAATTTTGCACAAATATCAGGAGCAGACTGAGAAATAAAATAAGAGTTAATAACAATTTTCCCTTTATGGAAGTCTGGGTTTACATTAGTAAACTTAATTAAGATGTCCCTAAGCCAATTCAGGAACACAGGTGCATTTTCATTAGCCTCTTGGACCTGTTCTAAAAGTTTGTTATAGTTAGTTTGTTTGTGAGCTATTTTATTAAGGCCCACAATTATACATGCAATCATCTTATGTATTTTATAATTCTCCATTTTGGTAATTCCAATTAGGATCCTGTTCAGGCACTGCAGTAGGCCTAGGGTCATTCTCAGTGGTATTTGCCTTATTTTTGTGATTGGCTTTTTCTTGAGCTGCTTGCCACAGCTGAGCTTGCTCTTGTGAGGTGAGGGTGGTGTTTAGAATCACATAAATATCCTTGAAATGTAAATCATAACAATTAGCTATAAATTCAAGTTCTCTAATTTAATTCTGTGCGTCAACAGAGAAGCAACCTAATTTATGGCTAATCTGAGATAGGTCAGAGAGGGAAGAGGGAACATGAATATGAACTAATCCCTTGGGCCCAGCCTGTTCCCAAAGTGGGTGTAGAGATTAGGCTGAGAAAGCTGTGGAGTAGAGGGCCACCAAACAGCCAACTGCCCAGCAGGCATGTGTGGGCAATTGCTCAATGATTGACTACAAAACAGCCGTTTATCACCATGCAATGGGGAAACACAAGATGCCGACTGATTACCATGTGACCCACAGCAGGATGGCTGCTGCCAGTGACACAGTGAGGGGCACAAGATGGCAACTGGTCATCATGTGACCCACAACAAGATGGCTGCTTCTGGCCGCATGATGAGGGACCACAAGATGGTGGCCATTGACCCTGCGACCCATCTCAAGATGGTGGCACACTATCACATGGTAGAGGGCCACAAGATGGTGGCTGTCCTCTATGCAAGCTGCAGCAAGATGGCTGCTGAGAACCAAGTGGCCTGCTGGAAGGTTGGAATGTACGAGCCTGCATATGGTGAGCTGGTGGAGGAAATGGCGACACAGGGGAAGGGGTCCAAGAACCATCCTGAATAGATGGCTCAGGTGGACAGGATTGAGAAATTGGAGACTGGGGAGAGAAACTAAGGGAAGGATTAGAAGCTATTGTGGATGAAGGAGTAGGAAAGGACAGCACAGAAATCTTTGGCTGAGAAGGCTGTGGGGTTTGATCTTGGGTATATGGAGGAGGGGGAGTAAAGACAGGAGACACATCATCTAAGGGGTCTGGTGGGGAAGAGGGGAGAGTTTCTGGTACAGCAGAGTTAGCTAGAAATATTTGGGCTGACATACATGACTGAATTAGAGAAAAACATGTCCTTATGGTAAGGAAGGCCTGTACATATGGGATTTCTGCCAACTTGTCGCCAGTGTAACAAAAGTTACATAAATTTTGAAGAATGCAGGGGTCAAACATCTCCTCTTTAGGCCATGGGCTGCTGTTAAGCTTGTAGGTTGGCCATGCCACCTGGCAGTATAAGTTTAGTTTTTTATTTTTATAGTCTTCTTTAGGCCAAAAGCACCAAGGTTATGAACCAGGCACTCCAGAGGTGTGATTTTGGGGGGATCAGAAATAGTATTCCCCATGACCAAATTAAAAGTGAGCCAAAACGAAAAAGACAAAAAAAAAAAAAAAAAAAGTGAGCCAAAAGAACAACTTTGCCTCGGGATGTAAGAGCTTTAGCTCCCGCCCAGGGAACATGAAAGTTGTTCCAGATAACACTTATCAAAAGAAGTCATCACCTATTTTGGAAATGTGATAAGAAAGGCTCCAACCCAATCTCATTGGCTGTCACCAAAAAGCACGAGTTGGGATCCCAGAGGACCAGAGTAACAGCCCTTCATCAGACAGTCCAAGGAACGTAAGAACTGCCATCTTTGTCCAGGGACAGCAGTGGGTAATCCAGTGTGGGCCCAGCCCACAGAAACAGAAAACCCCTGAAAGAAAATGACTCACCTGTGACAAATGAGCTAGGTCAATGTTGTATGCAGGCTGATGGCGACAAATTGAACAGGTTCCGTTGAAAGGAGGAATTAGTCCAAGAAATGTTTCTTAGAAATGGTCCCTACATCAACAGGGGAGCTCAAACTGGGAGTGACCCCCAGGAGCCACTCATTCTGCCATGGGGGAGGGGGGTTGGCACCATTATGTTAGCATTTTTCAGCACAATAAAGGAGCAAAATATAAAAGTAAAAGTGGCCTTTATTCTAAGGACATAGAGAGGAGCTCAAAATCAACAGGTCTGACCGTCATATAGGGTATGGGATATATATATAACCTTTGACTGGGGTGGTGCTTAGGGTGGGCATTGATGACATGCGAGGAGCTGATTGGAATTTTCTTTGTGTGCACTGGGAAAGGCAAAAGGAAGTTGTAATGGGGAAGGAGGAAGTGATCTCAGGGTAAACATCCCCAATTTGGCCTTCCACCACCATAATGTCCTGTAATTTATTCTAGGGCAAAACTCTTATCAAAAACCTCAATGTTAAATACATTTATAATTATCTACCAGGTTTCAGATCAAAAACGGCCCTATACCACACAATGAAATCTTAATACATATCTTCATACACCATATAGTTGACCAAAAACTTTACAACCACTTAATTGTAAAGAAGACTTACGGCATTCATTGGTACCATGGCCTGTGCCCCATTTTTTTTTTTTTTTTTTTTTTTTTTTTTTTTTTTTTTTGAGGCAAGGCCTGACCTCATTTTGCAGCCCAGGCTTGCCTCAGACTCATGTCAATCCACCTGCCCCAGCCTCCTGACTACTGGGATCAGGAGTGTGTGTGTGGCCTACAGATTTCAAAAACAAAAAGAAAAATATCATTTTAAGATGTAACCAGATTGGACTAAGACCTTAGGAACATTCCTACTGGTGACCTGATCTAAAGTATCCAAGTGATGGCCTAGGAATGTGGCTCAGTGGTAACATGCTTGCCTAGCACATATGAAGACTTAAGTTCAACCCCCAGTACCACCAAAAGAAGAAAAGGTCCAACTGACAAGCTCTAGTACCAAATAACACTGGGAAGGTTTCACCACATTTGACACAATTCAGTATAGTGTCCCCTTATCTTACTGATCTTTGAAGTGACTCAAGCAAGAATTGAATACGCCCATGAAGGTAAAATATTCTAAAAAATAAAATTTTAAAAAAGCAGAAATTTCTAACAAAATCGTGGAAATAAAATTTAAACTTTCATTTGGTGCAGCTGCCACCTTGACTCTCCTGCCCTCTTCCCTGAAGGTGTTCTTTCACCCTGAACTGTTTGTTCCATTTTGTGATAAATTCTGCTTCTCTTTCCCAACATGTGTCTGTATCTTGATTGATTTTTTTGCAAGGACACAGAGACTGATGCCAGGTGTGACGACATGCCCCTGTAATACATACAACCTGGGAAGCTGAGGCAGGACGATTGCTTTAATTCAAGGTCAGCCTGGACTACACAGCGAGATCCAGTCTCAAAAACCAAAAAAATTGGGGGTGGGGATGGAAGGTAGGCCAGAGCTGATTTTGAGCGTCTTCTGCTGAAGGTGCAGTGTGGAGGAAGCAGCTTTCCATGTTTGGTGGAGCGGCAAATTGTTCTGGACAAGTAAGGAGCTGTGCAATCAATAACTCATTCTGTATGCAATCTACAGCTCAGAGAAAGGTCAGACTGAGGAAATACATGTGAAAGTCGTTTTTTTAGTTTAGTTTTTAAAGGTTTACTGCATTTATATAACTTAGTTTGTAATAATATAACTTGTGTTTAATTAGTTCACGTAATTTTTAAACTTAACTATCGGTTCTCAGGAGCTCTATGGAGCTTGCTCCAGCCCAGCACTGCCTTTTTCTCTTCCTCTCTCCAAATCACTACGCTCAAAATGTGCGTCTTGAATTTGGTCGTTTTTCATTAAAACAGATTGCACTTAAATACAATAATGAAGATAATATTAGAAAAATAACTAAAACTATAGATATAATTCCCACTAAACTACAAACAGCTCCACAAAGGCCAGAGGTCTCCGATATTGTTCATTTTCTCAGGGAATTTGGTCTGAGGTTTCACAAGCGGCAAACCGCACTTCTTACTCTCCACTTGCGCTCAAGAGCTGGATGATTGCCCCCCAAGACCCACTCTTCCAGACGCACTGCATCCTCTGCCTCGTCGCCACGCCCACTCACTGCGGGTACGCAGAGCCCACCTCGCAGGACGGGACTTGGAAATGGGCGGGGCCTGAAAAAGTCACGCCCCACGCCCCTCGTTGCTAGGAGACACGAGGGCCTCAGCAGTTTGCCTCCGCCCGCCCAGCCGCGCCGCTCTGCTGGCGACCTCTGCCCGGGACCGCGCTCTCGGCCCTGCTGAGCGAGGGTAACTGGGTGGCCGGGTGGGAGAAAGGGCGCGCAGCCCGTCCCCCTGCCCGAGCTCCTCGCCGCTCGAGACCCCCGCGGTACCCTCTCTAGCGGGCTGTGTTTTTGTTTGGCCTCTGCTGGATTTCAGGCTCCTTATGCTCCGGAGGCGCAGCGGTGAGGCTCCTGCAGCACTGCATTCGAATGCGGAGAGTGCTATCTGCTCCCCAGCTCCTTCTAGTCGGTCACGCCTCGGACGCCCTCGCTCCCGAAGGCCAGCGGCGCGCTAGGGGTGCCTTTCTCCGCTGCGCACCGGACCGGGAGCGCAGGCGCCTTGCGGGAAACCCCCGAGCCGGCTGGGAATCGGGGCCTACGACGCTCGCTGTCCCGGCCAAGGCTGCATGCTAGTTAAAGAGCGCCTTTGCCATTCCTGCCTCCTGTGAAAACTCCAAATCTGGGGTCCTTACAGGCCAGGCTCAGTCACAAAAGTACCAGTAAAACTGGCGGTGCAGGGGAGGGAAGGAGCTGATGGCTACAGCAGGGGCGGTGGGCCTAGGAATCCAGCAGCCCGCAGGATAGGTGGGTCTGGTCAGGTGGTTCTCTTGATGAGAATCTAGGGGTTGGTTCTGCTTCTTACTCAGAGAAGTGCTTATGACTTGAAAGGGTGGCTGGGTTCCCGCGAGTTGGTTGCTTCTGCTTGGGATGGGTTGCGGGAGGTGACAGGCGATCTCATCATGAGGAGGTCCCATCATGTGTGGAAAAGTGTCCCAAGGGTCTGGAAAAGAACACTATGAAAACACAGTTGAACGACGCTGAAAATCCTGAAATAGCTTGATGCCTCAACTTTGAAGGGTGATGAGATAGGTTCAGTAAATTTAGGATTAAGAAACGTTATATAAGTGATCAGGACCCAAGGGAGACATATACCATGACACCAGGATACTAAAGTTTATCTTGATTTCAGTTACCCCTTGGGCATCCACAGGCACAAATTCTAAGTGTTTTTTATAGTAATAATGAAATGGGAAGGACCTGGGCAATTAGGAAGGGTGATGATCCTGGGGGTTTAATACCCAGTAACAGCAAAAGATGCCTCAGGGCGAAAGAGGAGAGGGATCTGAGGTGGTCCCTGTTAGACTGTAACTCGAGATTGTCGGTGACTTGACACTTGTTTTTACAGTACCCTTATAAATCCAAATAGTGTTTAATAAAGTCCACTTTCCACAAATTAGTGACTCAGATATTGCCATTTCCCCTTTGGGTAGAAACAGTTTAATATTATGCAGATTAAATGTATTTTTGTCAATTTTTTGGCCACAACTTTCCAGGAAGAAACCACTGATTCTGGGAGTCCTGAATGTTACTAATGGAACTAGTAGGGCCACTGACTCTCCCCAAATCACTGATGTAGTTAAGTCAATCCTTCCTAACTTTAGTTTGATTCTGTTTTTGATAAATTGAAAGTAAAGTGATGTGGTATGTTGCACACCTGTAATCCCAGGCTCGGGAGACTGAAAATGGATGATCACCGTGATTTTGAGGCCAGCCTGGGCTACATAATGGGCTCAATATGAGGCTGGACTGACGTAGCAAGACTCTGTCTCAAAAAAAGAAAAAAAACTGAGAAATGAAAAAAATGCAGTTTACACCAGCTGTACAAAGCACGATTACAGTAGACACAGAGGATCCCATTATAGAGAAAATGACATTCATGTTTCCTTTAGATATTGTGAGAAAACAACCTTGGAAATGCCTAATAATAGTACAAGATGTATCTTTCTCCTGAGAAAAGTAATGATATCCCCAGAAGTCCAATTGAATTCGGCAGATTTTGTTCTGGTAGATGTCACATTTTTACATGTGTAGTTTAACTGTATGACGGAAAAATGCCAAAAGGTTATTCAGCTGGCATTCAGGTCTATAGTTTTTGAATGAACATGAGCAAAGAAGTATTAATTGTCAAAAAGCCAAGCCTAAAGCAAAAATGCCTTTGGGAAAAATAAAAATCAAAGATTGTACCACAACTTTTAGAAAATACACATCGTTTGTAAAAACAATGTAAGTAATTCAACCTATAAGTTCATATAAAAACATGACTCATTTTGAAGGATTTTTTAAAAATTAAGACAGAGTCTCACTATATAGCTCAGGCTAGCCTTGAACTCACTGTGTAGCTCAGGCTGAATTCGAGGCAGTTCTCCTGCTTCAGCCTCCCAAGTGCTGGGATTACAGATGTGTACCACCATGCCCAACTTGAAAGTATTTTTAACACTGTGAATTCATGCTTTCTTCTTTCATGTATCTTAGCATCATATTTTCTATTATATAGCTATTCTAAATGTAACATATATATATATATATATATATGGATGATCAAACTACACCACATAGGTCAACACACTTGGTATAGTATTCCATGCATCAGTGATATGATGAACTTCCTATTAAAGTGAATGGAATTAAAGGGTAAAGATTTTAATTGAAACATGGCTAATTTATTATCTTGCCAGATAGTCCAAATTTTATGGCATCCAATAAGATAATAATAAATTGTCTTAAAATTTTTTTATTTTAAAAAAAGATTAAAAGAGGACATAACAACACAGGTCAGAACAGAACAATTTAAGCAACATAGTGTTTCACCACAAGACAACCCGACATAACAGTAGCTACCATAGTGTCTCTTTCCTTGAAATATTTGAGTATACCTTCATATACTATAGTATCAAACATAAAAAGACAGTATAAAACCGTTTAAGAGAATGAAAGTATTATAGGGTATTCAGAACCAACTAACAAAAAACAAACAGTGGTTTCTATATTATCTCCTTTGTCTACAAAAATTTTTGTTTATACTATCACATATAATAAAACCCAATAAGATACAACATGATAAAACCAATGGAGACAGAAGAACAAAAGCTTGGTGGGATTACAAAACAAGATGATATTAAATCATCACTAGTTATTATAATGTCTTGTTTTCTTCAAAGAAGCTGTTCATACCATCACAGACAATAAAATCAAACAACCCAGAATAAAGCCATCCCAATTAATGAATAAAAACATTATAAAGCTTCAAAGCAACATAATGGGGAATCATGATTATCACATACTTTTATGTATTCTTACCATTTCTTTTTTTTTTTATTCTTACCATTTCTTATGCTAGGGAAACTATTCAGTATTTATACATGTGAGTTTGATTTATTTCACTTATGAGTATGGTCTCAAGCTGCACCCATTTATTTATAAATATCTCAATGTGATCATTCTTTATAGCTGAGTAGTACTCTATTGTATAAAAATATCACAAATTTTTTATCCATTCCTCAGTTGATGGACACTTAGGTTGTTTCCAAGATCTGGCTATTAGAAATTGTGCTGCTATAAACATGGGTGCACATATATCACTGTGGTATGATGTTTTCAGTTCTTCTGGGAATATGCCTAGAAGTGGAATAGCTGGAACAAATGGGACTTCCAATCCCAGCTTTCTGAGAAATCTCCAGACTGATCTCCACAATGGCTGTACCAGTCTACACTCCCACCAACAGTGCAGGAGAGTTCTTTTTTCCCCACAGCCTCTCCAGCATTTGTTGTTGGTTTTCTTGATCCTGGCCATTCTTTCAGGAGTGAGATGGAATCTCAGTGTGGTTTTAATTTGCATTTCTCCAATGAGTAATGATGATGAACATTTTTTCATGTATTTATTTGCCATTTGTATTTCTTCATCTGAGAATTGAGTATTCATCTCAGATGCCCATTTTTGGATTGGATCTTTGAATTTTGGAGGTGTGATTTTTTTTAATTCTTTATATGCTTTAGACAGAAGTCCTTTGTCTGAGGGACAGTTCGCTAAGATTTTTTCCCAGTTTGTAGGTTTTCTTTTCAGTATGCTAGAGATTTCTTTTGAATTGTCTTAAATTTCAACATGAGCATGAATCTAAATCACTAACTGAAGATCAAAAGTTTTTTAAAGCTTACCTACTAGAAAAAAACCCCTAGTTTTCTCTGGTCAAGTCAGCATACAAGTTGATATTCACACTGGAAAAAATATAAACATCAGTACTAATGATATATTCTTTTATGTGGCTGCTACTTTCTTCAGGATAAGAACCACTCAACAGTTTAGTTTAATTTATATCTGGAACTCTAGAACTAAGTCCAAATAACTGTGGGAATTGTTATTATTTTTGAGACAGGGTTTCTTCAGGCTGGCCTTGAATTCACTGTGAACACCAGGCTGGCCTCAAACTCATGGCAATCCTTTTGCCTCAGCCTCCAGAGTGCTGGCATTACAGGCATGCACCACCATGCCTAGCTAACTGTGCGAATTATGGTTTCAGAATAGAACATAAATGCTATACTTTTTGTAATGTTAAATAAGTAATTCAACAACAATCTAGAGGAAATAAAAGGAGAGAAAGTTAATATTTTTCATAAAAAACAGTCCCCCAGTGCTTGTGTATGATTGATACATGCCGCTGAAATAAACAAACTCAAAATCATTACCTTTTTTTTAATTAACCATGGAGGCTGTTTTAGGTGCAATGTTTATAATCAAGATACATTTACCTGACATTCAACAAATCTATTGTCTTTTCAATTCCCTCTTTTTAATCTGCTGTTAAATCCAGGTAAAATTGAATTAACTACTACTTATTATAGGACTCTTTTTTTAAATAAAAATTCTCTTGTCTTTCATGATTCCTCATTAATTTGGAACAGTGTTCACACACAATATCAAGGCTGTGTTTCTAACTGATGTGATTATTTTACCTTTTTTTAATACTTCAGTGTAGTTCTTGATCTTTTGAACCTAAGGGAGATTTGGTATTGTGATTGAAAAAATTTAAAAACAACTGATGCATGGAAAATCTGACTTTAAAATGTTTCAGCCAACTGAAAGATACTTTAATAGGAAAAGGCATTCAAGGAAGTATGTAGTATCTAGGCACTTTATTTCAGCCAATGATGTTTCATAATAAAATAAGTAGTTGAGCAAAACTGTATCCTTGAGAAACAGTCTTAGAGGTACAGGGCTGGGTGCATGGCAGGCCTGAGGTCCTGAACTTGATCACCAGTGTTAAAAAAGCAAGCAAACAAAATAACTGGCCATAGGAGTTTGGTGAGTGGATTTATAAGCGAGCCCAGGCTTCTTGTATATGCCAGGCACTTGCACACAGCTAAGCTACACCTAAGTGCTGAGGTCAGCGAGTAGACAGGCATGTACACTAGAGAGAGAGGTTTGCGTTTCCTAGACCCTTGGTGACCTGCACTGTTTCATAATCCATGCCCTCGATGTCATGACAGCCATACAGCTGACATTAGTCTGTCACAGGATCCGGTGCCATGGTAACTGGACACATGGAGGGCAGTGCCTGGGATGTCTCCACTCGGCTAGCAAGTAGAAGAAACCATTGCTTCCCAGCCATAAAAAAGGGAAGAGACTGATTGTACATTCTGTTTTTAAGGAACAAGAGACAGTTTTTTAAATACAGTTACATAAGATACTGGTGGCATATTGTGGCATCTACTGAGGAGTTACAAGGGTAGAATGTAATACTTGCTTTGTTCAACTAATTTTATTATCAATGATATTTTAATATCATTTATTATTTATTAGCGGAAATAAAGTACCTAGAGTATATTTTCAGAAATGTGCAAGCTATTGCCTGGAACACCAGAACTGGTATACAACTTTTAAGATATTATCCCATAATTACAAGTACAATTTTTTGATGTGTATTCATCAGAGGTTTTTTGGGTTTAGGGAAGAGGGATGTTTTCCAAGATAGAACATGAATTTTGAAAAAAATTTTTGAGTAAAGTGTGATATATTTACTGAGAGCCTTAACTCTATATGATTTTGTCTTAGTTTTGTTCATTCTAAAGGGACTTTGAAAATTGTCACTTAAGTTATCTATTACTGTTGCTTTAAAATCTTTCAGAAATAATTGGTAATTGAGGCCTCTGTAGCCATGGCTAGTTCTGACGTGAAACCCAAATCAATAAGTCGTGCCAAAAAATGGTCAGAAGAGATAGAAAATCTGTACAGATTTCAACAAGCAGGATATCGTGATGAAATTGAATATAAACAAGTGAAACAAGTCTCCATGGTAAGATTTATGCCAATACACACTTGAGCACAAAATGAATTTGTTAGATGATAAAAAAGGATTTTAAAGACAACCAAAAAATAACTGAAGAAAATTCTACTCCAAACTCATTTTATAGAGGAGGAAACTAGGGCCCAAAAAGATGCTTTGAAAGGCAAATCGGGAAAGTGGGTGACTGAACAGCTGGCTAATGCAGAATTTTTATCTAGCAACTGTGTTCTGCTAAATGAGTCTCTTATAGTAGGTGGACCCTAAAGTGGTCTTTGTTTCCTACTCAGGAAACCTATTATCAGATATTCAGTTTGTTGCATAACAATTACTTTCCTCTTTTGCTTATTTTAACAGGGAATTAGGGGTTAATTTACTTCTTAATAAAGATTACATGTAACGAAAATTGTTAAAGAATATCTCCTGACTTTTTGTACTTTGCAGGCTTTCCTGAGAGCAGAGACATAGCTTTGCTTTACAAAAATTAGAACAAAATGTAGACTAGGTACAAGCATAGAGGTTCTCTTTTGTTCATGTAATCTACTATTAAAAGATACAGTATTTAAAACTATGGTAGAATCTGTTGTAGTATTCATAAATATATATAATATTTATATCCAGGGATACAGCTAAGTATTCCTATCTGTTTTAAAACTTAATTTACCATTTGTCAGAGACTAGTTAATGTGTGAATTTTTCAGATCATTTTGGTCTCTACTCAATCCTTTCTGAAAAAGTGGCTGCACAAAAATAAAAGAACTACAGAACTAACATGTAAACCAGGTGTGGTGGCTTATGCCTGTAATCCCAGCATTTCAGAGGCTGAGGCGGGAGTATCACCAAGAGTTTGAGGCCGTTCTAGGCTATATAGTGAGTTCAAGGCTAACCTGAACTATGCAGTGAGAACTTGTATCAAATAATAAATAAAAAAGGAGGAATATTAGAACTAAAATGTAATTGACTCTTTAATAGACATTAATTTAACAGATAGTATTTAGTTGATAAGAGTTAAAAATGCTGATCAGGTCCGGGATGTAGCTCAGCAGTACAGTGCCTGTCTGGCAAGCATAAGGTCATGAGTTCTATCCCTGGTACTAAAAAACCCAAACAAAGAAACAAAACCAAAAACTGATCAAATGAAGGTTTGGTTAGCATGATTTTTATATATCTGTCTTCTGATATCTACTACATTTTACACTGGTTTCATTATCAAAAGACAGGTTTTGTTCCTGTTTCCATCTATGGCTTTGGAATAGGGAAAACATAGGCATTATCACTTCAATGCTATTCAAAAATACGCATCATATCTTACCTTAGGGTCGGATGCCAGGGCTGGGTATAGATCAGTGGTGGAGCACTTGCTTAGCAAGTGTAATGCCCTGGGGTTGACACCAACACTAAAACAAAGGATTGGGATGCCCTTAAAGACACATATGACCCAGAATTGTATAGGAAGCGTGAAACAGGCTCACTCCTGCAGCTACATCAAAATTCCTAGTAACATACTATTGGGGTTAAATCAGATATAAGACAGAGTACATCTTTTACAAGGAAACTCCAAAAAGTAAATGCCTTGTCCTTAGTCCAATTTATGTTTATTGGGTAGTTCCCACATGCAGGTTTCTGTACCAAGCGTGTTAGGAGGCTCATATAGGTAAAAGACTGCCTGAGCCCAGGAAACCCCAGGAGACCATGGGAAGCATGCAGGATTGGAGGTGCCATTTAGGGTTTGCATCTGCTGGCCAGGTGACCCTGAACATGGCTCTAAAGGACACCTGGCTGTTTCCTTCACCATTCAGTGCCTGCCTGAGGCAGCTGTTACAGGAGTTAAATGAAATCTATGTCTAAAGTGCCTGACATTATAGTGCTCCTGGCCGAGTGAGTAAAGATTAAATGTTGCATAATAAACTCGTATTAATGAATGATAGCTTTTATTATTCTCCTTATCTTAGAGTAGAAATAATTAATAATAGAAATAATGAAATCGCATTCAAGTCAAAGTAAATGTACCTTCAGAAAAAGTATCATGGGAATTTAGAGAAAGGAAAAACAACTTCTTAGTGGGGACAATCCTCAGAAAAGGTAGTAGGCGCCTCGTGGAATTTGCAGAGGAGGAAGATGGATAGGAAGGCAGCTGAAGACTTGCCATGGGGATGTCTCCACACGTGTGCTGTGGGCTGGGGGTGGAGTGGAGTCCTTTCCTTCCTTGAAGCACGCACCTGCACACTGTCGACTTCCCTGCTGGAGCAGAAGACAATGGTGCTCAAGGATTACATCATTCCATTTGGCCACCAGAAACCTGGCCCAGATCAAATGGGAAGGATCACAGTCAAAGCCAAGAAAAAGAGATGTCAGTAGATTTAAAGACAGATATCTAGAGGCTGATGAGCAGAAGCCCAGCCGCCTGTGTAAAGGAAGATCTGTCAGCTGGCCCTGAGTGTTCTAGTAGGGAAACAGGAGTCCACAGTAACGTCCTGAGATTGCCTCCTTTTCCTGCTGATGCTACAAAGCCAGGGCAAAAAGGTGGCTGTGTCCGGTGTTAAATGTCATGGGAACCTGCCATGGGTCATCAGATATGTAGCTGTCTATTTTTGCTAATTGATAACTAAAGACAACAGAAAAAAATGCACTATAGAAAATGAAAGATCTGACCTAAATGGTGTCTTCAACTTTTCTTTCAGTTAAAAACTCTGTTTTTGTACACAGGGAGCATGGAAGGGAGGGGCTGCTGAGGATGTGGAAGAGCCATCCTTGATTTTCTAAAACCTGGACAATGAGCTATGGAGCATGATAAAGCACCTCTCACAAAATCCAGAGACACACACAAAGCAGTGGAAACACATTAGCCTGATCAAGAAGGCATACTATTGAATTTTGAGGGAAAGGGGAGAAAAAATGTTCAAATTGGATCCGTCAGCAAACCAATATGGCAGAGCAGGGAGATCAGTGAGGAAAGAGCATTTCTGGGGACCACATTCCGGACCTTGGACATCTCCAGTCCATTGGACTTCAGTCAAGGCTCAGTGGCACACACCTACAACCTCAGCTACGCAGGAGGCTTAACCATGATCTTGCTTCAAAACAAAAAGGGTTAGGGTTACAGCTAGCATATAGGATGCACGAAGCCTGAGTTCAGTCCCCATTACTACAATAAAAAGGACTTCAGGGTGAATTTGAAAGTTAAGGTGAGAGAAACACCTATCACCTCTCCACCTCTAGCAATGCCAGTTTCTTTCTTTTTTATTTTCTTGAGCAGGGGCATTGAGACAGGTCTCCTTTGAGCTGGGATGACAGACGTGGCCTCACATTAGGCCAAGCAATTCCAAGCCTGCTTGATTCACTTAGTCCCTACGTGACATCCAAAGCAGGCAGCCCATTTCTCCCTGGGGTGTGACTTTTAGAAGTTACAATGCTTGGCATCATGTATAAATGTGAGAAAGATGAAGCTGAGATTACTTCAAATGTTTCCATGGTCTTAGAGACGCTGTAGGCATTTAAATCTACAAAGTGGGCTGTAGAGGGAAAAGAGCTGAATTAATTATTCTATTACAGTATAGAAAGTGCCGTGAGCCTGGCGTGGTGGTACAAGTGCTGTTATCTCAGCACTTGGAAGGCTGAGGCAGGAGGGCTGGAGTGAGTTTGAGGCCAGCCTGAGCTACATAGCAAGACCCTGGCTCAGAAAAAAAGAACAAAAACAAACAAGCAAACAAACCTGCCTTTCCCCAGGACAAAGAAAAAACCCTGAAAAGTAGCAACATAAGATGTGTTTTAGATGTATAATACTCGAGTTAGAGCACTTTTTAATTTAATTGTAAACTTCAATTTGAGAGGCAGCAAGTTGTACTTTTAACTGTTTGGTAGTAAATATGAGATAAAATACGACTGACATTCCCACATTTATATTCCGGTTTTTGCTTGTGCAGGTAGATCGTTGGCCAGAGACAGGCTATGTGAAGAAACTCCAGAGGAGGGACAACACCTTTTATTACTACAACAAACAAAGGGAGTGTGATGACAAGGAAGTCCACAAAGTGAAGGTCTACGCTTACTAAGCCTTCCTCCTTCATGTTACTTGGCAATTATATTTTAAGAATTCATTCTTTCCATTCTGTATCACGCAAATGTTTGTCATTTTACAAAATGATTCAAAATGCAACCTTCGTTGTAATGTTTTGAAATCAAAAACCATGAAACTTGGTGACTACTAATCATCTTGTCATCCTGTCCCATCTAAAATATAGTTGCAGAAGTATTAAAAGTTGTAACTTTCTTGATCCTGCTTTTTTACTTTCTTTTTTTTTCATGCTGGGGATTGAACTCCTGGGCTTCACACATGCTCAGCAAGTCCTCTAGCACTATTCTACCTCCCCATCTTTCTCTCACTCTTTTTCTGTCTGTCTCTGTCTGTGTCTCCGTCTCTCTCTGAGACAGGGTCTCACTATGCCGTTCAGGCTAGCCTTGAACTTACTTTGTAGCCCAGGCTGGCCTTGAACTCACAGCAATCCTCCTGCCTCAGCCTCTTTTTTTATTTTTAGACACAGTCTCATAGTTTGCCAGACTGGCCTCAAGTTTGCACTCCTGCTGCCCAGCCTTCTGAATTGTAGGTGTGACCACCATGCTTGGTGGCAGAATACTATCTTTCTCTGTGGTGGAACACCATTGATGGTGATGTATTTTCCTATAGCGGATTAGAGCCCCCCTCATCCCTGTCCTTACTTTACCTCTTCATTAGAACATCATTTCAACTGTTAAATCTGCATTTTGTGGTATGAAGGCTTTCTCTTGACTCTAGAGTCCTTTGTCTTTGGCTACACAGACTGCTAATGCTAGAGGGGTGACTGTCTCTGTGGCTTTACCATGGAGTGGGTGGCCATATCCCCTACACCCTGCTAGCTCAGGAGTGGGTCTGACGCATGTGTTTCCCACTGGCTCTCAGTGGGTCCCCATAGGACTGAGACCTTGGCCACTCTTGTAGGATTGTGACCAAGTTCAGGAGTGCTGGAGTCTCCTTCTGGAGGTGGTTTACAGGTTCTTTCTGTCCTGAGCAAAGAATTAGTCAAGACAAGCACAAACAGTAGTGAATTGTTATTAAAGATAGGAGAAGTATTATGACTTGTATCTAAATGTCCCCACAAAGCCTGAAGTGGCCGTAGGTGGGCCTTTTTGGATCTAGTGTGCTGTTGGATGAAGAATGTGAGGCTGGGAGTGATTCCTGGTGTGGTGCTAGGATTAAACGTGGATGGCCTGGATAAAATATAAGAGACAGAAAGAGTACTGCTAGTTCATTACTTGTAGCCTGCCATGCCGACATCTGCCTCCTGCCTGCTGTGAACTGTTCTCCTCTGTGATGTTTCTCTGCCATCACACCCTGCCCTGGAGCCTGCCAGCTATGAACTGAAACCTCTACAAATTGTGAGCCAAATAAACCTTTTTGCCTTTAACTTTGGGTGTTGAGTATTTTGTCTCAGCAATGAGAAAAGACCAAAAAAAAAAAAAAAAAGAAAAAAAAAGAAACAACCCAGAATCTACAGAGCAAGTTTGGGGCAAGTACAAAAGTACATCCTACAGCATGAGAGTGGCCCACATGAAAGGGAACACAATGACAAAAACAACTGTCATGTTCTATCATCCATCCCTCAGCTGATGTCAGATCTAGACCATCCTATTGAAAACCTGCTCCAGAGAGGTCCACATGCGTTAGGAACTGTCCTCTGCATTTGTCCTAGTATTTTGTAATTTAGAAGTCAGACCTACTTTCCCAGTCAGCTTTGCCACACCCTCCCTAGCCAGTTTTGCCACAGCCTAATCTCCTGCCTTGGTGTCTTTCTGGATTCAGTGTCTTGGGTTTCTTTCATTTGCCAGCCTCCCATTCTCCTGAATAACTTAGATTTTGGGCCCAGAGCCAATCTCTGGGTCTCTCCACCCAAGAATAGTAATGTTCCTGTGCCACCTGGAATCTTTGCAGAAACAGACTAAGTGTTGAGGAGTGAGAGGCACTGTCAACCTTGAGGCCTTAACAAGTCCTGTTCTCAAAACTTAGAGAGGCCTAAATGCTCTAAGTGAACCAGATGTCCTTCAAAGTTATCTTTTCACTGTTATTTTATATTTTATTTATTTTACTTATTTTTTGGCCTTCATTCATAAGTTCTAACCTTTAGAGTTTTGAGTTCATTTAATTTTAGCCCCTATTTCCCAGAGTAGTTGTTCTCATCATGGAGCTTCATTAGTTTCTCCAGTTCAAAATTGTGCCTCTTTGGCAGTTCATCCTCACAAGTACATTGTAGAAATGGTAAACAGACCAGCAAGCCACTTTTATGTCTTTCCCAGTGTCACCTGTGATCATCTTATCTACTGCTTGTCTTGGGTCATTTTTTTTTTCAAGTCATTTTTCTGTACCGGCATTTATGATTCTTATCATCTGCTTTCAGGTCTGATGGACCTGTAGGTGCTGAGCAAGAGTGGTTGTCTCAATCTAATAGTGTTGTTTCCCCAGAGAACCTTCTATGCTAGGTGGAATAATTGCACCCAAAGTTGTCCATGGCTTTAGGAACTACAAATACGTTATCTGACAGATATTGTGATAGCTTTTATTCCGGACCCCGGAATAAAATCCAAGGAAGCAAGAAATTAAAATTTGGGGAGCAAAGGCTTTATTTTAGGCCAGGCCTGGCGACACAGCCTCCAGGAGCCAATATGGAGACTGGGTGCCTTACAGCTAAAAGGGTTGGGTTTTAAAGCCGAAAAACCACAGAAATGTTGCAAACTTTGACCCAGTTTGATAGCATCTGGGCTTCTTGGTATCTCCTGTAACTTCCTTGTAGTTTCTTAAGGACAGCATATTGTATTACAGATAGGCTGAAGGGGGTCGGGGGGGGATTATAAGAAGCTGAAAGTTAAAGCTTTTATGGGAAATGGAGACTTAACCTAAAAAGAATAGGGAGGGGAGGGGGATTTACAAGGAGCTGAAACTTAAGTCTTTACTGGAGATGGAATTTTAATCTCTATTGAAACGGCACATACAGAACAGAAAGGAGGCGCATTGGTTAGAACTAGGTTACAACAATATGACAAAAAGAAACTGCAGAGCTTGAAATGGGAAAAAGTATAGAGGATTGTGGGTTGAATCACAAGGGTCCTTTTTAGAGGGTACCAGCTGATAAGAGTTACAGAAGGGGACATAATATTGGAAGATTCTGTGGGATACAAGGACGGAGCCATGAGCCAAAGAAAACATATAGCCTCTTGGAGCTGGAAAAGGGAAAGATTCTCCTTTTAGAGTCTCCAAAAAGAAAATACCTTATTTTTACCAAATGTGATTGGTTTCAGACTTCTGATCTCCAGAATTGTAAAAGGATAAACTTGTGTTTATTTCCAATAAACTCAGTTGTGCTACTTTATTAGAGAAGCAATAGAAAACATATTTAAACAAAAAAGATTAAGCAAATAACTATTCACAGTCTTGAAGTCAACATAGCTTTGATCGTAGTTGCACTCTGCCCCTTTTTGGACACAGAACACATTGTGTCACAGATCAGAGCTATGCTGACGTAGGTGGTGAAGTGGTTTTGCCTGGAGCAGTCTCAGGAACTAACTCGGGTGTTATCAATGCCATTTCATCTTTCTGTAGCAAGACTCAGCTCAGAAAAACGGCCTTTGAGATTGTCACATACCATTTTGGTTCCCTAGGTCTTTGTGACTAGCATTTTCCCAGCATGTCCTGTGATAGACACTATTTTTTTTCTTCCAATCAGATTTTATTGGTACATTTTAGATATATATAATAATCACATGCATCATAGAGAATTTGTACCTGTAAATGATATAACTTCTTTTTTCCATTCTCCTCCCCCATATCATGCCAATCTTTTTTTCTTTCTTTTCTTTCTTCTTTCCTTCCTTTCTTTTTTTGTGTGGCTGAACTTGTGTCAACTTGACTGACCTGATTAGTGTGACACACACCCAGGTGTGTCTGGGTGAGCAATAGAGGGTGATCTTGGGGATAACATCTGATCCTTTGCCCCTTCCTTCCTGGTGCTGTTCCCTGCTCTGTGCCCTCACAGCCATGAACTAAGCAGCTTTGCTCTATCATACCTTCAACCATGATGTTCTTGCTTTGGAGCCTGCTGATTATGGACTGACTCCCTAGAAAATGTGACCCAAATTAAACCTTCCTCCTCTTTAGTGGTGCATGTGAGTTATTATACGCCAGCAACAGAGGGCTGATCCAGCTACTCCAGACATCCAGACTATCAGGAAGGTATGGGCTAGAGCCATAGGCTTATTATGGTGACAGTTTCCCTACTGAGAGAATTGCCCAGGCTACACGCAGGTGCTGAACCTCATTCATAGACATTATGACTCCCAGGGACCACATAGTTGCCTGTTCCAGGTGGTGGACTGAAGCAGTAACAGGGCCAGCTGTCAAGCTTTAATCTGTCATCCAGCTATGAGCAAATACTGTTGGAGAGCTTCTCTTTCTCAGGGCTCAGAAATTGCCAAACTTTTTGTCATTATATTGCACATAATGAATTGGTTAAGAAGCTGCTGGTTGCTCATTAACCACACATTCCCTCATCTGTGACTCTCAAAACTTGCTGCAGGGTAGAATCTCACAGGGAAATGTTAAAGAATACTGATGCCTTCTTCCTGTTTCATTTCAATTAAATAAAATCTCTGGAGGTGAAACATAGGCATTATTTGCTTATTTATTTATTTGTTTGAGACATGATCTTGCTACCAAGTCCTGCCTAGCCTCAAACTTGCAGCACCCTCCTGCCTCAGCCTCCCGAGTTCTGGGATTACATGTGTGTGCCACCCACCTGGCTGATTTTTATTTTTAAAAAGCATAAAGCACTGGGTATAGTGCTACATGCTTGTAATCCTCAGCACTCAGGAGGCTGAGGCAGGAGGACAGCCACAAGTTCAAGGCCAGCTTAGGCTGTTACAGGACTTGTACTAAACAGAAAGAAAGATGCTCTGCACCAAGGAGTTAGAAAGCAGACTGGTGGGAATCAGTTCCAAATCACCAGCCATGAGTCAGTTCCAGTTTGGTTTACATAGCAGAAAGTACAGAAGCTTAAAATCATGATGGGTTTTTATTGAGTTAGGTTATCTATGTTGCCCTGTTGCTGGGTAGAAAGTCCTTGAAATATTCTAGAAAAATAGAATATATTTTTAGGTGGAAAAACATAGACTGTGCAGCAGGAATGTGGTCAAACTGACATGGGTCAGGCTTTCTATGGAACAGCAGCTGGATGCAGTCAGAACAAACATAGTCTTAGGGTCTAGCTTGATGGCAGATTGGGTTAGCATGTTTGTCTCAGTCTGGTACCAGTCTGCTTGTTTGTTAGGGTTTGAGCATTTCTACCACAAGGCTGCATAGTAAGTTCAAGGCCAGCCTGGACTACACAGCAAGACCTTGTCTTAAAAAAACTAACTAACTAAAAAGAAAGGAAGAAAGAAAGAGTGAGCATAAAGTGAAGGATCCAACATGACTGAGTAGAGAAAGAATCACACTCAAGGTCTTGTAATCCACAAATGAGCTCCCCAGAACCCCCAACCTTGAGTCAAAAAAAATGGGGCAAGACATGTTTTTTTAAAAAGCAGCACTGATTTATTTTATACTGGGCCCAGTGACACAGTGCAGTTGGAGTTTGCAAAAACTGTGTGTCTCCCTCGAAACTTTCCAGACTTTTTGTAGAAAACACAGTTTACAAAGTAAGGGGTTATGGGCGTGGTTCAGGAAATCTGCTAAGAAATGAGGAAGACCTTTGTTTCCCTTTGCAGAGGACAGAGAAGTCTAGCCGGAATTAACAATCCTTTGTCAACTTATCTAAGCACTCAATTTTAGACAACACCATCTGTTATTTATAGAGGGCAGCAATGGTTAACATATCAGTTAGGTCAGGTTCCCAGGGATTTGCAATTCTTTACAGAGGGGAGCATTGATTAACATATCAATTAGGTCACTCCCCCCCCCCCAAAAAAAAACGCATACAGAACAGTACTATGGGAGTTACAGGTACTTTGGTCATATAACTTAGGTATAATACAAACATAACAAAGCTCTTTTTGCTAGTGTACAGCACAAGGGACTCAGAAAAGATAAATTGAAAGTGCAGGTCACTGGAAGAAAGAGGGGACAAATACCCTGATGTAAAAAAGTCAATTTGAAAGGAGAGAATGTAGATCAAACAAAACATACAGTTTCAACTAGGCAAAAAAGTCTGATAGAATTCAGCCTGCGCCCAGCTCAGGAACCACTATTTGAGATGTTCCCAAATACCTGGTGGGATCTAAGTAGCATGGTAGATTTCAGGTATATGAGTCCCTCATCTCATTGTCCCCTCTCCGAGCAAAGGACATTGCAGTGTGGACACACACCAGGGATGAGTGACCAGATTGCTGCTCCCTCCCCTGACCAACTCATTCTCAGACTCTG